GGGGGGGGGGGGGGGGGGGGGGGGAGGGCAAAGGATCGTGTGAGATGAAGAGCTAAAGTGAGAAGCGTAAGAAAGGATCTGAACATTTGATCACTTTTAATCTCAAACTCACCTATGAATCGTGCTTGATACGAGGATTGATCTGGTGTATCTCATCCTAATGTGCATTCAATGGTGGAGATCTCTTCCTACACTTTTCACATTAACTCTCATTTTCTCACTAGAATTCAGTTCTATATATGTGTGTATGTGTGTGTATATGTATGTATGTGAATGTATATGTATATATGTATATATATGTTATTGTAAATTGTATATGATGTAATAAAAGTTATGAATTTGATTATTTCTGGCAGGAATAAGACCAGAGCCATCATAACAACAATATCTTAAATAAGTTCTATCAAAGATGAAAATTTTACATCTGATATTGTAAATAACACAACCAAAAACAAACTAAGAAACTGAAACTGATTGTAACCAATTTTAGAAATAATATATGAATTTCAAAACTTTTATAACATAAAATATATTTATCTATATAATCTAAAATTCATATATTCAATATTTGAACCTACTTGTGTTTTTATATGTATATGAACAAACACATACATACATGCATGTGTCATGTGTGTCTCATATATAGATACATATATCTAATATTCAATCGAAAATAAAAATCTCTTGAACCAGACTTAAAACGCGTCTTAAATCAAGCCTAATCGATCCTATAACCTAATTCTAATTGACCCTCCGTCCTAACCGAGTAACTAGGCTTTGAGCTAAATATGTAGACACACATATAGACCATTAAGCCTAACCCCGGTTAGTACCAAAACTTTTAATAAACCAAACCAAACCAAACCAAAAAAGAAAAAGGTAAAAAAAAAACTCGATGAATCACACATAGTACCATAGTAGGTCTAGGAAGCATCAGATGTATGCAAACCTTACCTGTACCCTAAAAGGTAAAGACTGTTTTCGTAATAAATATATAAAAACTATGAAGGTTTTGAGAAAATGATAGGTGTCCAATAGGGGTGCTCAAAAAACCCGACCAACCCGATTAACCCGATCAACCCAACTCAATCCAACGCAAAATAACTCAACCCGAAGCAACCCGATGTGTAATCGAGTTGTAAAATTTTCAAACCGTATGTATTGGGTTGATATTGGGTTACTATTATTTAAATCCAACCCAACCCGATGAACCCGATATCCTTTTATTTCTTGGATTTAATATGATTGTTGAATTTCTATTAGTATACACATTATACAATTACATTATCATGTATGTTTTTCATATGCCCATATTTTCAATCTATTCATATCTCTATATAACTCATTCATATACATGTTCAGTAATTGTGAACATATACAAGTAAATTGAGAAAATTAATTGCATGTGATATACGTAAGAATTATGGATAAGTTGTATCAAATGATTGATGATGAAAAAGAAATTATGAGTGAGAAATAACATATTCAATGTTAGAAGAATATTTTAATATATCAAAGTATCAACCCGACCAACCCGTACGGGTTGGATTGGGTTGGGTTGTACTTTGGTTTGGTTTGAGTTGGGTTAAGATTTTTCCAAACCGCAAGCATTGGGTTGGGTTGTTCACTGTATTCAACCCGATCAACCCAACCCATGAGCACCCCTAGTATCCAATAATGCATCTATATTGATGTGAATTGGGTTAGGCCCTATATTGATGTGAATTGGGTTAGGCCCAATATTGCATCTATATTGATGTGAATTGGGTTAGGCCCATATTGCATCTATACTCTATAACTAGATCAAGCAGAGGCCGTTTTTCAACACTAACCAAGTAAACATTTACCAAAAAAAAGGTTAGGAATTGTTTGTTTACCTCTTGATAGTTTTATTAAAAGATAACATCTGAATCATTAAAAGATGAATCTTATTTGGCAAAAAAAATCTCTCTTAATGGTTCTAAAACCCTCTAAATGATTTTGCATCATGAGCCTCCCTTAACCATTAAGCGCCCTAATTTCATTGTAAACAATTATCAAACAATTATATTTCATTTTGTACTATATCATGAAGGCCTTTTAATCATTCTGACCAATTAATCATTTTGCACAAAACCATTCAGCAACTGCCAAACAGCCTCTTACCACTCTCACTTACCTCATCGAGTAAGAATCTCGGTCATCAAAATGACATAGCAAATTGTTGGAAGCGTCTCTTACTTTGTAAGCACTAACCTAGTAAAAGCCACCGCCCTCATTTACCGGTTAAGATTTTCGATACTTGTCAAGTTTACCCAATAAAGTAAGATAAGTGAAGATGATGACTCTTAACTGCATAGCGTCAATAAATGACCCCTATACTATGTTTGACAAACTAGCTGATAAGTTAACTATTAAAGCTAGTTGTTTGCTAATAAACTAGTCATTTTTTGTATAAGCTAGCTGACAATGCAAAATAACTTCAAAAGCATAAATGGCATAACCAGAAGAAAGAAAAAACATATATCTTATTGAAAAGCTACTTGAAGTACCTTCTCAAAAAGCTAGCTTACGGCCAACCAAATGGGACTTTTTCAATAAGCTAAAAAAAGCAAGTTAGCTTATAGTTGCCAAACACTCCCGAGTACAATTACAGTACTCAAACCACATAAGACTCTCCTTGTCCATAAAAGTTACGATAAAACGACAAGGGAAAGGCTCCATTCATACGAAAAACGGATGCTAAAGCAATGACAATCAGTCCAACAATAGGAGATAAGAGCAAAGTAGCAAAGCTCTCAAAAGACTTCAAGATTACACATCAAGGTAAATAACAGAACATGAACAACCTTGAATACTAAGACCACGGAAAACGGAACTGGAGCCTTACATTCCTTTCATTCTTTGCCATCAGCAGCCCTGAGAGATCCGAGTTGAACCGGTGCTTGGGTCCCAACAACTTTAGACGACCCATAAACCGAAAGGTCAAAACCAGCACCTCTTTCTTTCTCAATTTGCTCCTTGATCCAGAAATATGTGATTCTCAAGCCATCCTGCATATCAATCATAAAGTGAATGAAGTGATGATAAATCGACACACAAGTATGCATACCAATTAACTTGGAAAGTCAAAACAGCGCTTTTACAGTTATATTTGTAAAATCTCCATATCTAGTGCTACGAGGTGCATTTTTTGTTGTATCCATGAACTATTAGTCATGATTATTAGTAGATTCAGGATTAGGGACAGAGGAGGGGAAATTTTCGTTTTTCCCTTGTTTCTAAAAAGAAAGGAAGGTGAATAAACCAAATTAAACGAACTCAGTAAATATAACGTACAGTGGGGTCTCGGAAGGGTAAGATGTATGCAATTTAATAAACTAGAAAGAAGGGCTAGATGGGGTTATCAGCAGAAGTCCAATTCTGCTATCAACCAATACGACAAAGAACAAGCACACACTCTCACACACACACGCATACGCATATATATATATACACATCTATATGTAGAACAATATAGGTACACATGTACATATGCATAGGCATATGCAGGCGTGCTTATACACAGAGAGAGAGAGTTGGGTTTTGGTGAGAATAACCCCTTTTTCACGAGAACATCAAAGAAACTGAAGGTATCGTCATATTGTGTGAAGGATTATCATGAGAAGTGTGAAGATACATTTATATCATGTGAAGGTTACAGTAACCTTCCATTACGTATGTGAAGGTGATGTGAAGATTACAATCTTCACACAAAATAACATAACATTCACACAGTATAACATGGAAGCGAAAATTTCACAAATGAACTTTGACTCTGCAAGCATATATATAACTATGGATTATAACACAAAACTTTTCTTTTATTGGTATGACTTTTGGTTGGTATGCATATTTAAATGTGCCCTTTATCATACACTTTTAAAATGTATGAACCATTATGTATTTATATACTTACAACGAAGGGAAAAGGAATACCTTTAGTTTCATGGTAGGGGCCCATCCAAGCTTCTCTTTGATTAAAGTGTTGTCCGAGTTTCTACCACGTACTCCTTCTGGGCCTGGGATGTGGTGGATCGGTAGCTTCTTGTCCTCAAAACCGAGAACAATTTCAGCCATTTCATTCATGCTTACCATCTCATCACTTCCAATATTCACTGGTTCACGGAAGTCGGATTTTGTCAATCTGTTAAACCATGTGAAGAAGAAGTTCGTATCAAGATAACCCCTTTGATTCAGTTAGTTTCAAGTAATCACCTAAAGAAAAAATATCTTACAAGTTTGAAGTCCAAAATACGCTTTGGTAAATTAATTCACGAAAAATGGAATAAAAACCATTGGTGGCTCTCACAAACACGAATGAAGTACCTTAAGACACCTTCGACACATTCATCAATGAAGGTAAAAGATCGAGTTTGTAGCCCATCTCCCCACATTTCAAACTTATCGGTGGATGTAAGGGCTTTTCTGCAGAAAGCAGCAGGTGCTTTCTCCCTTCCACCTGCAGTTGTTAAGATGTGAAAAACCAAATTATATTACACCCTCCGTCCCAGAAAAGAATCAACTTTACAATCTTTCTAGTCAATATTTCAAATTCTAATATGAAGACCAATTTGATGTCCCTAGTTTGCCCTTTGTTTATAAAGGAATCATATTGTAATTGATATTAAACTTGCTCAAAACTCGTGAAATTGTAGAGTGGGTCTTTTAAATTGATTGTTATCTGGAGATTAATGGGTCTTCAAAATTGTACCTTTCCATGTGCCGAAAGGTCCGTAGATGTTATGAAAGCGTCCAATTCGGCACTCAATTCCAAAGTCTTTGGTGTAGTGCCTGCACAACTCTTCAGTTGCTAGTTTCTCCAAACCATAAGCATCTTGAGGCTAAAATACAAGGGGGAAAATGCAGACATAATTAAGGATATGAACCAAAATAGGTGATAGAAATATATTCAGCAAAGTTACATGTGTATATATTTATATTTATAAGTGTATGTATATATTCATGATTAGTCAAGAATCAATAACCTCGGCAGGCCAAGCGTCTGCTTCCTTCAAGCTCACATTGGTTTCCAACTGCTTAAACTCAGGGTAAATGCAAGCACTAGAGGCGTAAAAGAACCTGTACACCGTAACATGAAAGTCAATGTATTGTCTATCTGTCTCATTAAAATTGCAACATTTTACTAGACATACGCGCCAATACCTATATCAGGATTAGACCCATTTCGACCGAGCGGCAACCGAAATAAAGGTTCATCAAACTCGAATGTATTTCAGTGATGACAAAACAGAGGGAATCTCATTAACCAAGCTCGATCATAATCATGATTTACAATTATGACAATTGGAAAATAAGTAACTTCAGCTTCGTCCTCTAGGAAACCCATGAAAAATTGGAACATTTTCCTTTTTGGGAATCCCCATATTGCAACATTCCGTCTTTAGGGAAGTTTCAAGTTAAAAACGAATTTTTCAGCCATTATCATCCTTGCAAATTAATGGATCACATATTTCCAGTCCAAAAAGTACGTTTTGTTTTGTTTCTATTGAAGGGCATTTTAGATATTTGACAAATGGTCAAACACGTTCCTTAAACTATATGTCAAGTCAAACGACTTTTCATGGAACAAGGGAACTTATAATAACTGGACATCTAAGAAGATTCTCTGATTTAATACCATATCGAATATTTAGGGTTCCAACTCAAAACCAACAGCAACGAGTGTATTAACCGAGGATCATATATGCATCTAACTTATCCGTGGGATCACTAGCTTTACAAACACAAAATTAACTCTACACACGGAGATAAGTCACAACAAATGAAGTCTCACTATGAAAGTGTGAATTGTGTAAATGGCTGCAAAAGGTTATGTAAGGCTGTAAGCATATCCACACTAGATATCAACAAGGAAAATAGAGTATAGTTTAGTGAAAAGGATGACTATTAGTCAGATATCTAAATACCCTTCAACAACATTGTGGACCAACATTAATGTCATTAAATTTGCAATAACTACCAATGAGCAAATAGGTAATTATAGATTGAAACTATGCAAGTAAAAAAGATATGTCGGATTTATTTCAAAACATCCCATTTAGGAAAGAAAGTTGTTGCATTTATTTAGGGACATGGAGTAGCTTCTCATGGAACCATAATTAAAAATGTCATAAATAACGGTTCTAGAAACAACTTAAATTCCAAATTGTAATGGTTATAATAACAAGATTACATTGACTAACCTCTTAACTCCATTGATCCTCGACGCCTCGAGCATGTTAAAACTTATCATTGTGTTGTTATACATAATGACCGAGTGGTTTGACTGAATGAAGCCCATACCACCCATATCAGCAGCCAAGTTAAAGACATGATCGACATTCTCTGTAACTTTCAAACAATTATCCATCACCCGAAGATCAACAAGATGGAACTCATGGCAAAACATGTCCTCTGGCATGTGCTCGTTTTTCTTCCAGTCAGAAGCAATGATGTAATGGCCCTCAGTTTTCAAACGACGAGCAATGTGTGAGGCAATGAATCCACCAGCTCCAGTAATGGAAATCCGAAGCTTGTCTGATGGCCAGTAAGGTTCCCTCTCAAGATTCTCGTAAGTGAATGACCCATATTTGGTTTCACCAGTTCCCATCCTACAAATTTTACCATGAAAAACATGAGTTATTGATGTAGGCGGAAAACGTATTACAAACACACAGAACAATTACTGCTTTACCAGCTTGTACTTCATGGAAAAAATTGATAACTTATTACTTACCTAACATACACCACTTTCGAGAGGTTGTATTCTCCTGCCTTACGCCTCACTTTGGTTACAAGAAATTTGGATAGCCAACCCTTACCCGACCCCTATATTTATAACCACCAAATTATTCCACTGGCTCAATTATCTCCCAAGTCCCAACTACTTCCACCTAACTCACCAGATATTATTATTATAACCATGCCGTGCACCAAATCTTTCTATGTCTACTGTATGTATATTTGATCTGTGGGTCCAATAAATAACATCCATCAAACCAATAATATTATCATCCTCAACAATTCCTATCATCGCAAAGAAGTTATAACACACCACAGACGCAATTTTTTGTTGATTCTGAGTTTCAATAAATCTGATTATTTCCCAAAATGAAACTTGAGAGGACAAGAATGGATTTATGAAACAGAAGTGAGAAGGTGAGGGTTGTTTTGCAAACCGACAACTTTATTATAAATGTGAGGAAATAACGCAGTTACAAGCAATTAAAGAATATTTCAAGTTATAGAAATCATAAAACCATTAGTAAACATTTATTGCTTCAATATGCACCCACAGATATAACTATGAGCACGGAACACATCATCCCATCTATCATTCGGATAATATAGCGAAAGTAATCATTTACTAAAAGACAACATCACTAAAACCTAGCCTACATGAGTAGATTTATTGTCAAAATCTATGCTGGTTCACCATCAGAAAACATTGTTTCTGTAGTGGGGCTGCGTGATCTGGTTTTTTAAGGAATTATGATACTAACACCATGAACTACAAAGGGGAAAGTTTTGGGCAGAAGGCCTGCTGCCATGTGTGTGCATGTTTTGTGTGTTTGACATAGTAACCAACGGAGATGTGCCAAAATTTCTGGATTTAACAATTGTAAACCATGAGTCTGGTCTAATATGGCTTGACAGGTTTGGATGGAATCAAGATGGTGAGCTTCTTGGGTCTGGGTTTGAAAGGATAAGGGGCCGTTTACCCAATTGCTTACCCAGTAAGCGCTTACCGATAGGAGTCAACACTATGATTTATTTTGATGCGTAAGATTTTAGTATATTAAAACATATCGAATGCAACAATTTAGTGGGTAAGCGCTTACCTAAGTAAGAGTCATCTTCCTCACTTACCGGGTAAGACTCTCCATCATTCTCATCGCTCTTACCCGGTAAGATTCTTGACCCTTCTAATGTTCATCCAATGAGGAAATTTATCTGGTAAGTACTTACCAAGTAAGTGTTTAGTAAACGGCCCCTAAGTCTGTAATCAGACTTCTAATAGCCAAAACAGACCTTATTACTAAGAACGTATTAGATTTGGTAACAATGAATTAATATGTTTTTAAATGATGTAGAAGTGCTTTCCAGCAATGTAATTGTCAATCCTAAAAAGCAGGCAAACCCAATAACCTTCAATCAACTTAAAACTATGGTAGGAAGTTGTTAGTAGCTCACAATGGTGACTTATAAAGGGCTCATAGTCGACCTAGTTACAAATGTGATGATACAATGTTAGAAGCACGGAAACAAAGCAATACAAGCGTTAAATTTTAAAAGCTAAAATCAATATCACTAGTAGAAAATGGGTATAAAAACTTATATCTCGCGGTAACAAGAATGTATTGTTCTGGGGTATATCAAGGTTCAGTCTCGGATTCATATTTCATCGACCAATCCCTCCCATTTCATCAAGTGCTAAGGTAGGATGATAAGAAATTCTGATCAGGGCAAAACAAGTTATGGAAAACAGACAAATGTAATTTAGTTTTGAAAAAGATTTGCAATAAAGAAACGGATTTCATTTGGTGCTCAAAGCATGATGACAAGAAAATCCTGATTAGGACAAAACAAGTTATAGAAAACTGACAAATGAAATCATGGATTTAGAAACAATCGCATAAAGGGACAGATTTCATGAACAGAGAGTTTTATAAGCTTCAGGAATCATCATTCCACACTTAACAAGAACATGCAAAAAAGGAATGAGCATAAAATGAAACCCCAGCCTAGATCTATAAAGTGCTAGCCATGCTCTATTACAATGGTTGTACCATTTCTTGAAGTGGACAACTGCCCACACAAATTTGATGATTGACCGATGACTCTCTCACCTTTTTTGAGATATATATTATAGGTAGTCTTGATTACATGGTACATTAGACCAAAAAAATTGCTGCAAATGCCATGGGAGCTCTCTCACTTGTACACATGCACATACAAAAAAGGTCAGATAGAGTGTCACTCTATCATTTTCAGCAAGTTTCATTGGTTTTGTTGTATAACATCATAAAAAAGACATGTTACTAACAAATGTATACAATAACTTCTCTTAACCAAAGGGCCTTTGGCCTAGCGGTATGTGAGTCTTTGGCCTCCTAGGAGGTCAAAGGTTCAAACCTCACGAAAGGTGAGGAGGGTGTGTGAGTTTATTTGTTCTATTTGCCGTATATAAATATTATATACTTCAAAAAAAAACCTTCTCTCATTTTAAAAAGTAAACCAAATCTGTAGAAGGCAAGTGAAGATATTGAACAATAGACAATCTAGTTAGCATGACTAGCCATTGTAGCCAATCACAAAGCACATCAACGAAATGAAATCAGCCCAAACGAACTATCTGCCACTAAGCCGAAATGGTAAAAACAATAGGCAAGTGATAATTTTAACAAGACTCAATGTTAACAATTTTCATATGATATTTTAAAATGGAAATCGTTAATAGAATTAAAGCAATAGAGTGTGAATGTGTTTCCTTGTGTCTCTCTGATGGAAGAAGAGAGGCAATTCACACAATTAGCACTTGGGATGCCATTAGAACACACAACTTTCAAGCAATTCACACAATTCAAAGGGGCAAGCAGTAGAGAATTCATCTAGGAGAACTATACACAAATCACATCGCAGAGTTTTAGAAAATGTAACATCGACATACGACACAAATGCCTAGTTACACACATAAACTTGAAAAGAACATTAAAAAAACCCAGACATTCTTGTGCCCTTTCAGCAAAACACCACAAATCTCAGCAAAATCAACCAAAATCCGAATCAGATCACGGCATAAATAAAAACCGATGCGAATTATACACAAAACCCATGAATTGATCAGCAGTTCACAATAGTAAGAAAAACAAGAATTTAGAATCACCTCGACAAAATTTTAGAGGGATGCAGCAAAATTGATCCCTCTTGAACGCCACTCGTATCCTGAACTCTTATGGTGGAAACACAGTCCAACTATCCTTCAACTTAATGTTTTTTTTAGGTTTCTTGGGCGCCCCTTTTTTCTTTTGTCTATCTTTTTGGAATTGTGGACATAAAAGATCGATCTTTAGACAAAATAATCTATGACGTGAATATAAAGAACAAAAGTCTTAAACTTTCCTATCGCTATTAAATTTCTAAGCTCGTATGGTCCCAAAAACATCCAATGTGTTGAAACCTGCTTAATTAAAAACTAATTTTTCTCTAGTTTTTGAAATATTTGTTTCCTTTGCATAAAAATGGAACGTAAAGCAAGATTGATACCAATCAAAGTTAGACCTGTCATGAAAATGATATGTAAGATCAAAATAGAAAAAAAATACATCTAGTGTTACATGTGAAGGCATGGATCAATGCACATGCAAGAGCATGTGTCATTGTAAAATTACTTATTAGCCTTTTCGCCATTTCGGTATCAACGAATTATTCCAACTCTTCATGGACCATGCCCACGACAGGTTGTTACAAAGAAAAAGCAAGAATCACTGGGATTCAATACCGTTGATCACTGGCTTTTAGCCAAAAAAGACAACTTATTTTTCATCCTTTTGAAATTTATCGAAACTTTTATTTTAAAGAGTCTCGTTTTTGTTTAAAACTTAATGGTGTTTCTAAACCATGTATTGCACTACGAAATACGCTCCGGTGTCGAAAATGAGACTTGTTGTCAATTCATTAACATTCTAAACCATTGTTTTGAGGGTCAACGCATTCAAATCATTATTATTATTTAATTTATTAGGTGAAGTTAAAAGTAAATTTCATTTAAGGATGTAGGTGTGGATCGGATTGTTTTATTACCCCATCAAAACCCGAAATAATTAAACGTTGATTTGACATATTTAGAAGATTCCTAGAATAGTAAGGGTGTTTGGATGTATATTTTAATAATGATTACGTGATAACAAATAATCTAAATCAATTAATTAGTTGTTAAAAAAGTAATATAATGTTTGGAAGTGTTTCACAACTTCAAAGTTGTAATAATCAACTCTCATGGTGAATGATTTGACAATTGTTATATAGGTAAATAAGATATATAAGTAATTTTATTCAATTTGTTACTAATCATGTCAAACTGATTATGTGAACAAATAAGCAAAAGCACGATACTTGAGAAATTGATTAGTCCAAAAAAAATGAAACCCAAACAACAATTGACACGAAAAGAATGTGTTTCCCTCACAGTAATACGTCAACCTCCGACAAGAGTACTCTCCAAATTCATGGGTGGTTAAGGATACACAAAGATAGTCGGTCTAAGAGATTCATGACCGATTTGTTAACCGGCATCCAATCTAAGATGCAGTTGTCTCGTCGCAATTCAACCTCTATGCAAGGCTTTACATTCCCAAAAACCACTACTATAAATGGAAATCTCCCTACTTTGATCAGGGTGGTGGTTTTATGTCGAAATCCGCCATCTCCTCCATGTACCACCGAACCTAAACTTCTCACGACAAAAACCCATGTAATTGTCGTGTCAATAAACCACCGGCTGGTGTCGAAATATCTTATTTCGGTTGCATACAATGAGGACTCGCGGGAAGGGATCAAGTGGATGGCCGCCCATGGTAGAGAATGGCTAAATGACAACACTAATCTCCATAAGACGTTTCTTAGTAGAGACTAGGCCAGGGTCAACATTCCCCATAACATGGCTATGGGGCAGGTTTAGACTCGGATGAGGTAATAAGCCTCACAGGTCTTATTTCGCTCCATCTGTTTTTTGGTTGAAAATACCTAATTTGATCTGAGTCAAGTAAACGTTGCCAAAACAAAGCCTTCGTGGATCAATATAATGCATCAGATCCCATTACAACTTTGCCAATAAACGTATTTGAACCAGATAGCACTTGCGTTTTTTAGAAAATGTTGAATATAACAAGGCTGGAAAAAGATGTCAACTCATCATATTCAATACATTTCATTTGTTTCATCATAAATATATCATCTTCAAGACGATGTAGCACTAACAGTTTCGCCATCTCTAGCGAATTCTCTAAAGTAGAGAAAATGAAGATTTTGGTTTAATCAAACATGATTCTCTAAATTATCCTCTAAAATAGAGAAAAAAAAAAGAATATAAAATTCTCCAAATGTAAAGAATTCTTTAAAATTTAATATGAGGAGAGATAAATGATTTTCTTTCGCACCAATGAGATTGAATATATTATGATTTTATAAAAACTTTTTAAAAGTGTATTTAATTGATAACATTATACAAATATAAAATATTATAATAATATAATTAATATTGAAGTCTCCAAAGTTAAAGAATTTTTTTGGAATATTTTTGGATTTGAATGTGATTTTTTTTATTTAAACTTTTTATCATATATTTTTAAAAAAAATTATAGAGAATCTATCGAAATGTTTAAATATAAACCAAAAGTATATAATGCAAGTGAAAATAACGAAAAATAGCCGATGAAAACCCACATCAACAAAACTAAAACGATCCTAAATGATGGACTCATTTCACCATTTCACATGGTAAATTGGTAATTTAACAATTAACTCTTTTAAAAAAAGAAACATTGACTATCTTTGATGATATTCTCAAACGGAAATTGTTTCGATTTCTATGGAACGAAAGTAATAATGGTCAGGGAATGTGTTTTATTATGGATCTCTGCAGAGAGGAAGAGCATACACACACACACAGACTGTTCGGAGAACTCAGCATTGAATTCATCTTAAACCACACAAATACCTACCTACTCACACACATAAAATCGATAAGAACAGCATGAAACCTAGACAATTCAGCAAACCACCACAAATCTCAACAAAATCAACCAAATTCCGAATCAAATAACAGCATCAATCGCCGGATATGTGAATTATCGACAAAATCCATCAATCAATCAGCAGTTCACAAGCGATTAATGTTGGAAAGCCAAGAATTTAGAATTACCTCGAAAAGAAATCCGAAATATTGAAGCGAGCGAAGTTTCGTCGAACAAAGCCCTTGCACTTGGTAGAGGATTTGGGCGCCACTGCAATTATCCTTCTGATTGATGGTCTATTTATTTTGGGTTTCTTAGATGTACATTTTGTCTTTTTCTGATTTTGTGGACGTAATAATTCAATATTTATGGAAATTAATTTATGATATAAATATAATAAAAAAAACATTTTAAATTTTCCATTTATGGTAATTAAATCAACATAATTCAAATTCAATCAGATTAACGTGACATATTATTAAAAATTAAATAAAATATAAAATGTTTTATTTGTTTTTTATCCCATTTTTGTATATAATTGAAGTGAAACTCTCATATAGATTACAAATAAATAATGCATAAGTATAACTTATTAAAGCTTTATGCTTGAATTGGTGTAATTAACTGCAGATAAACATAATCAAATACTGGATAAACATTTTATTTTAAATATAAAAAATTTAAAATATAATTAAGATAATTATTGTATTATAACAGAATACTTAAATATTATCTTTATAAAAATTATTATATTAAATCAAAAATAAATTACTTCGTTATTGAATATAAATTAAATTACAATAAAAAAATCGAATTAAAGAAATTATACAACAAAAAACAAAACAAAAACTTTTGAATAGTTAATTTGATATTAATATCGATATGTTTTTAAAAAAAATTTAAGATATCTTCAAATTTATATTTTATTTAAAAATAAAAACATTATTTTTTTCTCAAAACTACATAAAACCGTATTATAACATCAACAAGAGACAAAATAAAACGAAACATTAAAATCGAGATATATCTCGTTTCATTGCATAAGTATCTTTCTATTATTTTATAATATGATTAATAAAATTATTTAATTATTAACTAATATTTATTTGAATATTAATAAAATACTCAATAGTAATAAAATACTCAATAGTTAATATTTTATTCGAAAAAGTAATAATAAAATATTTGATTGGTAGTAAAAAATTTAAATTTATTAATTAATTAATATTTTTCAACAAACTTTAGTTTTTTCTAAAATTTACGCTTTTTTATGTTTTATGAATATATTTTATAACATTTGTAACATCCTCAACATGTGAGAGTCGATGTTATGGTGTGCGAAAAATTCATAATAATATTACAAGTATAATATAAAAAATAAAAAGTCATAACTAAATTTAAATGAAAATTACGAAACTACCCTTCTATTTTTTCATAGCCGGAAATTTTGACCGATTAAATCGGTAATTTTTGACCAGTCAAAAATGCAATTCTTGATCAGTCAAATCCGATCTTAACCGTATGAAAGCCTAAGATCATTTATTTATTTCTTAAATATTTACCACTTATCAAACCATATGTTATTTTGGTAAAATATTTGTTTTTTAAAGATAGGGCAAAATAGCAATCTACTTTAATAAATTTTTTTAATTTAGCATTGTATTTTCAGTTTTCTTATTACAACAATGTGCTTTCAAACTATTTTTTATTAAAATATTGTACTTTGAAAAATTTACCCATTTTAAAGTGTGATGCCTTAATAAAAAATAATTTAAAAATGCATTGTTGTAATAAAGAAAAACAAAAATAGAATGTTATAATAATTTTGTTTTATAAAAGTAGGTTGATATTTCATGCATTTAACTCTTTAAATATATTTTCTAAATCTAATTATTAAAATTACTAATTATTAACTAATATATTTTTTGAATATTAATAATACTCAATTATTAGTTAATTTTTTATTTGAAAATGTAATAATAAAATATTTGGTTACTAGTTAAACAAATTTAATTTATTTAATTAAATAATATTTTTCAACAAACTCTAATCCATTTATATTATATATATAAAATCTAACCAAAGGGCATTTGGTCTAACGGTATCGTAGTCATTGGCCTTCTAGAAGGTTAGGGGTTCAAATCTCACCATAAATGAAAAGGATGTATAAGTTTCTTTGTTGCATTTGCCGTATATAAATATTATATATTTAAAAAAAAACTTTCTAAAATCTAGACTTTATTACGATTATGAAGATATTTTATTACATTCGTAACATTCATAACATGTGAGAGTCGTGTTATGACATGTGAAATATTCTTAATCATATCATAAAAATTTACTAAAGCAGTTAACATCATCAATCATAACGATTTTTAGTTATTTTTCATATTCTTTTTTTAAAATAACCGAAGTTAATTAAAATACTTTTAAAAAATACGTTTTTTTTAATTTCTTCGTTATAATCATTTCGTCAATATGTTCAAAGTGAGTCTAATATTAAATATTTTTATATTTAATCTTATATTATTAATATTATAAATATTTATGAATTATTTTAATACTTAATCTTATATTGTTAAATACTTACACTTTATACCCTTATAACAGATTAAATAAATAACTAGAAGAGTATAATGTATAAATATTAAAAAATGATTCATACGTATTAATTATATTTAATAATATAAAATTAAACCCAAAAGTATTTAATATTGAGCTCATTTTAACTGTATTGACGAAATGATTATAACGGTGTAATTCATAAAAAAAACGTAATTTTTTGATGTAATTTTTGATCTATTTTAGTTAATATATGGTTGTGTGTTAATTTAATGAATATGTAAAATAAAAAATGAATAAGTAAGAGATATAAAATAGATTAAATAACTAATTATAAAAATATAAAAATTTTATGCAGAAATCCATATTTTTTTTTACGTAAGGGTGCTTTTTAAACTTTTTATTGCCCAGAAACAATCTTTTTTCTTCGTAAAATTCACTTTATGCATAAATTTTGGCTATTTTGATAATAGACTTTAAAAAGTGTGTAAAAAACGAATTAAATTCATGAGATTGGATAATTTAATAAATTTGCTTAATCTATACTATATTATGAAACATTTGGCAAAAACTTTTAAAAACTACTTTTTATGCATGAGATATTGTTTATTGATGCATATTACTTAAAACTTAAAATTAAAAATAAATTATACGTAAGTACAATTTATTAAAGCTTTATGTTTGAATTCGTATAACAAACTACAGATAATCATAATCAAATACATGATAAATATCTTATTTTTAAATATAAAAAATTTGAAATATAGTTAGGATAATCATTGAATTCTAACAGAATACTTAATTATTATTTTTATATAAAATTATATTATTAAAATTAACTTTGTTATTAAACCTAAATTAAATTTAAAAAGTTATACAAAAAAACGAAAACTTTTAAATTGTTAATTTGATACTAATATCGATATATTTTTTTCAATTTTTTATGATATATTCAAAATTTATATTTTATTGAAAACAAAAACATTGTCGCTTTCTCAAAATCACATGAAACCGTATTATATCGACATAGACAAAATAAAATGAAACATTAAAATCGAGATTTATCTCGCTTTATTACGTGAGTACCCTTCTAGTATTACAAATATGATATGGAAAGTATTATTAAATCTAAAAAATTTAAAAAACTATTTATTTCGTATACTAATTTTTTTAATATGATAAAATAGATTAATGGTTTGTTTTACTTATATCATCTTATGTTATATCCAAGTAATTTTTTAACATGTCATTTTTATCATTTTATATTCTTTACAACAAAATCGGGTTTATGGAATGTCCAAAAAATTTAAGTGTCATATTTAAAGCCATTGTAATAAGTTTATAAGACGTTTTTTGGACATTTTAACTAGTTTTTACGACACTTTTAATGCAAAGCGTCCCATTAGCAAGTTTATAAAACACAATTTGAAAAAATGTTCTGTAAAAAGCGTCTTATAAAAAGAAGAGTTTATAGAACTTTTTCTCAAAATTGTCCTATAAAATTTGTTAATGCAATGCTTTGTAATAAAAGTATGCTAAAAAAAACTAGTTAAAACATTCAAAAGCATCTTATCAACTTATTACAACACTTATAGATAGAACGTTTTATATCATCTGAGAATTCATTAGACCTTATGGTTTAACCCTCGCTTTTCGAAACTAAACCATTTTCAGGTAAGTTTCGCGTTGACAATGCTTCAAAAGGGAATGGAAGATTTGATCCAAGCGGAGTTTGGCTTGGAGTTTAGCAGTTGTTTGTCCCTAGTTTTGGTAATAAATCTCAGTTGTGGATGTGGATTACCTGCTATAATTTATTGAGATGTATTGAAAAACCTTGTATTCATCTACATTTGGTGTCGGTTTGATTTTTCTTATAAATCTTGTTATTTTGGATTTTGGGTTGTTACAATTGGTATCAGAGCCATAGTTTAAGGAATTTAGGTGACCAGTTATGTCTAAACTTAAACTACAGGATAAGGAAACACAAATTGAGATATAGGGATCCATTAGTAAAGACCTCAACATGGACATTTATGATAAGGTAGCGAGGACCCCCATATAAGGTAAATTTAACATTACATCTGGCCAATGTAATTATGAGTTTATATGTATTTGATTTACCTTATTATTATGAAACTGTTGGATTAAGTTTTGTTTATATGTGTTATTTCAATGTTAAAAGAATTTAGACTCTTTATGGGGTAAAGTTTAGGATCTTCGAGAAGTCGTCAATGAGTATAAACAAATTAGCTTGGGGTAGAAATTTCAAGACTCAAAGAGGGAGTAGAATGGTATAAGGGTGTGGGTGTAAATTCATTTGTTCTGTAGGGACTAGTTTGGTAAATAATGGAGTAAAAGGGGGTAAACCCTTTTCATATCCTCATCTGGTTGACGGTTTTGGAGAAGCTCTAGGGAGAAAGGAGATTTTGGAAGATTGAATTCTTTTGGAGCTTTGGTGTAGAAGTGAAGATTTCAGAGTAAAAAGATCATTATCCTCAAGGTGCTCAGTTTAGGATTTTCAGTTGTTAGGTTTGAGGTGGGGTGCAAGACACCAGATGAGTTCTCTTACCCTTATTTTTATAACTCGTGATCGTTTCTAAATGATTTTTAGAACTGATTATGGTTTTATGCATTAATGATTTATTATGTGAATTTACTATGTTGTACGTTGGAGGTAATTGAGCTGTATGTGGCTACGTAGAATGTGGAA